GTAGGAGGGCTAAGGAGAGGGGGGAGGGCCGGTGGGGCTGAGGGGCCAGCAGAGGAGGGCGCTCTCGACTGCGGGCAGAGGTGGGGGCGCGGGCCGCCGAGGTCTGAGTGCAGGTTTGCGAGTGGGTTGGAGGGCCCCACGCCGAGAGGGAGCAGGATCTGAAACTCCGCTCCCACGGAGGGGGTGGGAGTGGACTGGGGCAGGCAAGATTTGCTGATCTTCGCGAGAGGAAGGGGTTCAGGGGAGGGATGGATGAAGAGAGCGAGGCCAGCCTGTTTCTAAAGAGCGTTCAGGGGAGGCTGGACCCAGGGACCCTGCTGCCTTTAGCGTCCGATTCTCCGCGGGGTTGGGCTGAATGAGCTGGGCTTTTGGGTTTCGGGCCTTGTTCGGGGGGAGGGAGGGGGGCGCTGGGCGGTGCCCCTGGTACCTACCTGGGGGCATTGCTTTGTGGGAGGCTGGGTCTGGATTCGTTCGGTCAGCTGTCGGAGGGAAGCATAGTGCCAGCAGGGTTCTGATTCGTCGGTTTGGGGTGCTGGGGGTGGAGTGCGATATCTGGCAGTGAAATCCGAGCTCTCAAAGGAGGGAGAGAACCTTTTCTTAACTGCTTGGTCTAATCTAGACGTGAGAGTGAAAAGCTTTAGAAGTAAACAAACCTGGTTCTCTTTTGCAGAAGGGAGGCGCGGAAAGTGAGGCTGGAAGAGGAAGATGCCGAGTACAGACTTTCTGATGTTGGTGAGTCTTTTCCAAACATCCTCCTTGTTGTAAGGCGCTTGTCCCTGGAGTTTTATTTTTAGTCCAAGGGAGCTGAGTGTGTAGATTCCACTCCTGATGCTTCTTTTTGGTAATTGAACATTTCTGCCACCTTTATTTTGGGCTTAATGATTAAGATGGTTAAATAACTGAATTAAATATGTGAATATATAATATTTAATATACATGAAGGAGAATCTTTTTCAAAATTCTTGCAGTTGGTTTTAATTACTCCCTTCTCATATTACCATAGCAATTTTAAAACTTCTATTGCATTTTGTCTGGGTCTGCCATATATTAGTTTAGAAGTGACTGTCTCCCAGACTACAGTTATGATTCCCCAGAAGGCAGATATGTCTTATTTTGATAGAAATGAATAAACACCTGTCATGGTGCTCTGTAGTAGTAAGTGCTTAACAATGCTTATGGAATTGAATTAGTTTGAATTTAAGTGTTTTGTTGCGCTGAGGTGTATACATGCTTTGGTAGAGGCTTCATTTTCCTCTTCTCCTGAGATCTTCCTGTGCTATTTTCTCAGCAAGCAGGGAGAATAGCATTACCACATGAGCATTTACCAAAACGGCGTTTTATTCTTGGGACATTTATGACGCCATAGAGGCTCTTTAGTGGGAGAATTGTGGGGAACCCAGGACTTTCAAATAGCTATATAGAAAAAGTGTCTGCATTTAATGTTTAATAAGTCACTTCACTGAGTCTGATGTCTGTGCAAAAAACATGGGTTTAGAAACAACTCCTTTTCATCTCTTTATCTCACTATCCCAGAGAGGTGGTAGCTATCCCTGGAAAATTGGCAAAAACTAATAGTGAAGTTTTCTTATACCTGGAGCTGACTTCCTGTAGTGGCAAAACCTGTAAGGAGATAAAGAGAGAAGGAAATAAAGAGGGAAACTAAGTTGTGATTAGTTCTGATTCGAGGCTGGGAGCAAGGATGATTTTAGAGACATAAGTATTTGGTTTACCTACAGATCCTGAAGATTTCATCTAAAATAGTTTCTTGCCTCAAGTTTTATGGATTGTCAGTAGATAATAAATAGCGTTGATATAATTTTAAATGCTTATTATAAGAGCAATATATTAGTAAAAAAATGAAATTATTATAAATAAGCAAAAGGAAGCAACCCCCCCAAAATTCCACTACCCAGGGATAGCTGCTGTTAGCATATTGGAGGGTTAATGGGGAATGATTTGTAATAGTTGGTAATTTCTGTTTTCCCCCAGTATGTTTATGTAAATTAAGGTTCCTGTATGTGAGTAGGCTATATTCCCATGCCCAGAGATGTGCTTATTACTTCTTGGGCCTTTGGCTCCCTTTAAAAGTCTGAGCAGTGAGTGCTTTTATTCAGAATATTAACTTTGGGTTCGTTTTGTTTTGAAGTATTTCTGTAGCTGTTGCCACTACTTTTCACTTCCTCAGTTAATAATCTAGACTGTTTAGGGGTGTTGCTTTGCTCGTTAGCATAAGGAATTAATTTACATGGATGACAGGCCCTTGAGGATCATCATTTTCCTAAGACACCGTATATGTTGGTTGAGGTGCTTTCATTGGAAAAGCTGTCCTTCCTTCCTTGTTTATACTGTGCTATTTGAAGCTAAAATGTGAAGAACCAATAAACGGGTGGATTTTCAGTGGGGTCATTAAACTGTCATGATCTGAATTCAATATGTTTCTATAGGTACTTTATATAATGTGTTAAAAGACATATTCTTGGCCCCTTAACTAGGAAGAAAGGACCCGAGTTAATAAAAAATAAACCTCCATGCAGGGCAGTGTATTGTAGAAACTCAGAAACAATCATAGAAATCATATGACGCAATTTCTTATGTTGTGCATGAATCCTTTTTTAGAATCTCTGATAAACAGGTACCCAGTCATCTGTCTTTTCTGCTGGAGGAATAAGTTGGGAATAAGCTAAGACACAGTACCGGGCGGATTCAAGATTAGTAATATAAGTCCAACAGCTACTACTTATTGAGCACCTATTACATGCTGTGTGCAGAAATAGATACTCTACATACTCATTTAAGGTTCACAAAAAACCCTTTGGAAAATATGCTGGCTCTTACAGGCGAAAAACCAGGCTTAGCTGGGCTATCAGCAGCAAAGTGGTGGAGCCACCCTTTAACTACAGGTGATCTGACTTGAAATCCTTCCCGCATATTTACTTTGTAAGGCTGCATCTGGGTCATACTCTCCATAAGGGAGAGCTTGTTGAACTTTGTGACTGATGGGAGAGGGTTTATGTAGAGCAGAAGGGTGGGATAGTTTCACCCTGTAGGGGGCACTTTAGAAATGTGTGAGTGTGTCTGCTCACACATGTTGTCTAGTATAGTCTTGCCTGAGAAAACGTGTTTTATTATACAAATATTCCTGTTTTTTCTTTTACATTGCAGTTGGGGGCATTATATTGAAATTTTAAAAGTTATGCCTATATGTATAATGTTTCAATCTTTGAATTTCATTTTAGAATAATAAAGGGTCAGTATAAAATATTTGTTATAAAAAGAAGTCATTGGGTTTGATAAGGTTGAAAACCACATGTGTGGACAGTACACTATGGTAATAAAATTTGAAGATCCACTGGAGTCCATCTATGTCACACCTTGTATTCCAGAATAAGGAGCTTGGGCTGTCAGCCCTCAGTGCATTACTGTCCTTAATTTTGCCCTCATTTGATTAGGGTGGTTTGCTTGCTTTTTTCCATTTGCTCCTATATGTCATAGGCTGTAATACTTTCCACCTATGACTCAGAGAGAATGAAATGAGTGAGTGTATTCATCTGAGAATTGAGATACTTCCTGCGGGAATTCAAGTTAGGCAATTTTTGAGCAATCTTTGTCTACTTTGGCAACTGTTCTTTTCATCCATATTCTCCTCCTATCTAAGCTAGGGTTACAAGTTGCCAAATACCTCTAGCTTTTAAGAAGCTCAGTCTACTTCTTAGATAGCTTTTCTCTTTTTCCATCCATATCGGTAAGTCAAGGTTACCATTTGTTCCACTGGTTTTGCTGGTTGGGGTTTGAGTAAAAATTGTTTAGGGCCAAGGTTCTCAACCCAGGGTGATGTTACCCTTCAGGAACATTTGACAGTGTCTGGAGACATTTTTGATTTTCATACTTGAGGAGTGCTAGATGTCAGGGATGCAACTAAAAACCCTACTATGCACACAGTTTTCCACAACCACAAATTATCTGGTGTAAAATGTCAGTAGTTCCCAGGTTGAGAAACCATGGTCTAGAGTTCTTAACATAGATAACGGTATCTGTAGCCCATACATTCAATGTGGGTTGTCCCAGGCAGAATGAGTCTTTGAGTGTAATGTGTCTGTTATAGTGTTACTTGGGGTTATTTTGCTGGTAGATCAAGCCCTGCAGCTTTGGAATATATATTGGAGAGTGTACAGCATGGTCTTCTGCAGCAGAGTAACGTTTCTGCAGCACTCTTTTTTTTAAAAATTAGGTTTTTTTTCTTTATCATTGCCTGATGATATGTTTATTGATTTTTAGAGAGGGGAGGAGAGAGAGAGAATTGATAATGAGAGAGAAACATCGATCGGTTGCCTCCCTTACGCGACCCGACTGGGCATCGAACCTGCAACCTAGGTATGTGCCCTGACTGGGAATTGAACCTGCAGCCTTCTGGTGTATGGGACAACAATTCAACCAACTGAGCAACCCAGCCATGGCTGAAGCACTTTTTTCTTTATTTGGAAACAGTAAGCCTGTCTCAGTTTTGTTTTTCAGGTTCAAAAATGGAATCTTTCCAGATCTTAGAGCTTTATCTTTAACACTTGGATCTTTTTCAGGGATACTTTCTTTCTGAATCTCAATTAAGATTTAAGCAATATGTTGAAAGATCGACACAAAATGCTTATTTATAATCTGGTGTCTTATTTGTAGGATTGTCTAGAAGAAAAGGGAAGATTCATTGGGACTGGTAGAATATTTAAATTTTGTTGACAATTTGGCCCTTGTAGGATGAGCACTATATTTGGCATTGTTTCAATCTTATAAATAAAGCAAAACTATAATAACAAGTATGATAATTTCTGCAGCCTTTCGCCTAAAGGAAGGGGGAGTTGTAAATAGATAAACCCTCAAATCCCAGTATTTGGCTTAGCTTTGCAGTCTGTGTGTCAGGAATTTTTAGTAACATTTACCTTCTTAATTAGGCTTTATCCAATCTAATATTACATACAGTTTGTACGCACTGGTGACACAATTGAGAGTCAGCCCGTGATTAAGAATTTTCCCTGAAGGAATTGATTTATAGCGAATCAGTCCATGTGTAGAAACATACAGAACCCAGTTACAGAGAAAGAAACCATGCTCTAGGTTAAGGGGCGATAGGAGCCATCTGGGAAGGCAGGAAGTAGTTCGTTGGGTATATCAGTTATCTCTTGGTGCACTCCAGCAGTATGAATGAGGAGATGAAGGGACTGTTGCAGAGCTGGGCAGGGTTAAGGAAGACCAGGAGGGGTGATGAAACAGCTCAGGGGTAAGAGCCGTACTCTTAGGCCTGGAGGAGCCAGGAAGGGGAGTAGTTTCTGGAACCTTGAGAGAGCTTAGCTGAAGGAGAGGATAACCTGTAGGAATATAGCCAGTGCCAACCAGTAGCTGTGTAGGAAGGGAATTAAGAGGAATAAACACCTCAAACTGTTTCGTTTCTCACCCTCTGATCTCCTGCCGGAGATTCTTATTGGTCAAACTCAACTGGAAACCAGAGAATAAGGAAGCCTGGGTGATTTAATTCATACAGGGCAGGCCCGGGAGGTACATACTTACAGAGCTGGAAAGGGTTTGGTGGAGGATCTGGAAGAGCAAAAGGAGGGTATCCAGCATGCTAGAGTCAAGGTCAAGTTAGTTCTGAAAGGCACAGCTAGAAGACAGTATCTGAGCAGAGTCTGGAATATTATAGAAAAGGAATGTTTTCTTTGATAACAGAAGGACAGATTTAGAGGCAA